TATTTCCCCCTTGTAAAGTTTTTTTTTTACACACAAATATGTATTATCAAGAAAAGGATTGTTTTATGCATTTGAAAAAAATTCGGCTATGGGAGACAATCTTTTACTTATAGAATTCGTTAACCAGTTTTAAAATACTTAGTCGTAGTATATAAATGTGACTTAGTGCATTTCTAATAATTACAAAATATTGTTGTACTATTTAAATGTTAATTGTAATTATGGAACTATAACCGGTAACGTGTCGGTATGGCATACTAAAACCGTACTGGAGTCGAAGTGATGAAAATGTAACAAACTCATATGATCCCAATAATGAATTTAAACGGAAGCGCTCTATCTCTTTCCACTCTCACTAGATGCTGTCACCATCCTCAATTTGTCCCCACTTGTAGGACAGCTATCACCTTATTCGACCCATCTATCCTCCCCTCCACACGCACACAATGCCCCACTTAAAAAGACATGCTCATATGCGGATTGCTTGAAGAAGTTTAAACGCAACGAAACATGCTAATTATCACCATCTGTTTAGAGGCCCCTAGTTGCACTTTCAATCACAAAAAAAAACAAGGAAGTCATATTTCATCCTCTCAAGTATTTTTTGAGCTATCAGTCCTATGAATGGAGGCGCGGCGGCTAAGCGGTAAAGCGCTTGGCTTCCGAACCGGGGTCAGGGGCTCGAATCCTGGTGAAGACTTAGATTTTTAACTCCGGGGATTTTTCGGGCGCCTCTGAGTCCACCCAGCTCCAATGGGTACCTGATATTAGTTTGGGGAAAAGTAAAGACGGTACCCGACATTAGTTTGGGAAAAGTAAAGGCGATTGGTCGTTGTGCTGGCCACATGACACCCTCGTTAACTGTATGCCACAGAAACAGATGACCTTTACATCATCTGCGCATAAACCACAAGTTCTGAAAGTGGAACTTTATTCTTTTTTAAATCAGTCCTATAAATACGCTGCAAAAAAAAAAAAACAGCGATCTTTTTAAGAGTTGTACATTAAACATTATTAAATGTGTCTCTTTGGACTTTATTTATTTTTTTATAATTATTTTTTCTTTTCATGCACCATTTGTTTGCTTAGATTACCGTATCTATATCTGTTTAAGGTACTATTGGCCGTATTAGATATTTTCACACATCGAGCCAAGTCCATAAATAGCTAACTGTGTATCCGGTGTATAGAATAAAAAAAAGGTTCGCTAAGCGAACAAAACATATAATAATTTTTTAATGCACTTTTCATATTTTATAATCAAATTTCTTTCATTGAAAGAACGAGGTATTTTTAAAATTTGCAGCTTTGATCTTTCGAAATGGCGTCCTGGTCATTGGTTATTGTGTCTATTTCTTTAAAAAACTTTCTTAGTATTTCCCTATTCATTATCTTGTTGTTTTTTTTAGCTTTAAATTCATAAAGCTACCACATTTCCTCATATCGCTTTATCTTCTCCCCCACCCCTTTCTTTTAAAGAACTTTATTTCTATTTTTTTAAAAAGACGTGGTGGCTTCCGAACCGAGGTCCTGGGTTCAAAACTTGTCGAAGACTGATTTTTATTTCCTTAGGATGCCTCTGAGTCCACCCAACTCTAATGGATACCTGACATTAGTTTGGGAAAAGTAAAGGTGGTTGGTCGTTGTGCTGGCCACATAACACCCTCGTTAACCGTGGGCCATAGAAACAGATGACCTTTACACCGCCTGCCCTATAGATCGCAAGGTCTGAAAGGGGGAAACTTTTTTTTATTACTATCTTCAAAAAAAAATAATAATCAGAGAGCATGTAACTGTGATTAACCTTTAATGTGAAAATCTTCATTATCAATGAAAGAATTTGACGGATCGTGAACAACGAAGGAATGACAATATCTTTGTACTTAATTATTCTTATATTTTCAGTAGCGATGATTACATAATATCCGACGTATTCTTTGTCATTTCATAAACACAAACACGCATATTTATAGAGCACAGAAGATAATCTTGAAGTTGAAACACTCTAATTGAAAAAGTACAGTTATATCCCTAACGAAATAACAATATTCACTTTGAATATCTTGCATTCCCCTTTTGATAGCTTTCCCCGGATTTTCTAAGATTTCTAAAATCGCGCTGTGACGGGCCCAAGAATTTAGTCATAATAGAACGAGTCGCTTTGGTCTCGAAGGAGATGACGTCATTCAAGTTAAATTACCTTGGTGTCATGATGCTCTAATCTTTTTTTTTTTGTCTCTTAAAGCAAGATGCTAGCAAAAGAACTAATTTGTTTTCCTTGAGTACTAACACATTTAATTTTCATGAAATATATGGCACGAAAAAGAGAATGATGCATCGTAACACAGACCACACTTTTATCTTTCTCACGCTAGTTCTGATCTTCTCTAAACCTTTTAAGTCAGTGTTTCCCAAACTGTCTTCCTCGGGACCCCAGAGTGGCCTGAATAGGTGTTCCACGAACGACTGGAATAAGTAACTACTAAACTAGTAGGCTATCACGCGAATTAATTTCTCTAAAAAAAATAAGCACAGTTTTCCGCTAAATGCTCAAAATGTCCTAAGTGTTCCATTAGAAAAAAAACAACTCTTGGGAACCACTGGTCTAAATAATAAAATGGAAAGATGTATTTGATAAGTCATGCCAATACATTGCATAAGGTAGAGAGTCAACCTCTCCAAATCATATGAAGGAGGAGCACCCCCTCGAATGTGCGACGCGCCCACGTAATCTAGACTCGGGTGGTTTGAGTGATGACCTATCTCCTTCCGATCACAACAGTACTTCTAAATTTGGATTCCAGGATTCTATATAAGTAAAACAACACACTGTTAATGTACAGGCAATAGTTCGAATTGAACAAAGTAGGATGGTTGTCTTTCTCTTAGAGATGTTCATAATTGAAACAAAGGTGGATTGGTGTTTACAGCTTATATTGTGATTGTCGTAAAATAGTTTACAGGCTGATTATTATTGTCGTAAAATTGCTTAAAAGTTAATTTATAATTGCCGTGATTTAAAATGCGTTGACTATGATTGGAAAATGGTGTTTTTATATATAAATCGTGACTTTAACTATTATAATACGTGTTATATCACTTTTAATCTTCAAAGAAACGTCGTTTAAATAATTATATTAACATCATACCTGATTATTGTTATTGCCATGCGTGATTTTAATTAGAACAAATACGTCGCTTTCATTATTATAGATATGTGAATCTAATTATTATAAATACGAAACTTTAATCATTGTAATATTTCGCCTTAATCATTAGAAATACCTGAATTTAGTCGTTATAAAATAGGCATTTTTTATCGTTGTAAAGACGTGATTTTAATTATTATAAATTCTTAATTTTAATCATAAGTATGCAGTTATAATAATTATAAATACGTTATTTTAATCATCCTTTGTAAATTCATGTATGAACTTTTTAATTGTTAATTGTTTTAATATTGTGTTCACAGATTAGTGCTAGCAGACAGAAGTTTAGCCAGCAAGCTACTGAGCCTGACAAGTCTGCCAGGTCCAAACTTGACACAACCAACGACGTCCACCTCAAAACGAAAAAAGTGGACCTGGGTCAGTTGATTCAAAAATTTTCCGGCTCCGAGTCCAACTCCGAGAAATCAGAAACCGAAGCGGAGGCTACGACCTCCACCGTGCAGCGGCCGTGGGTCCGACGACAAAAAGCTGAGGAGATTCACAGTTCAAGTGAGGACTCGGAGGGCGCAAGACGGACACCTGAGAGAACCCAAAGCTTAAGGCGTTATGGAGAGAAGCCGGCAGATTCCTCTGTTTCCGTTAGCAGGCTTGAGAAAAGTGCAAGCTTTAGGTCAGAGTTTATGTCCAGGAGGCTAGCTCAAAATACATCAGAATTAACCAAACAATTCGGTAAAACAAAAGAAGTCACGCCTCCCCCAAAAGAGGCCACGCCTTCCCCAAAAGAGGCCACGCCTTCCCCAAAAGAGGCCACGCCTACACTTAAAGACTCACACTACCTTAGAGAGGTTTCACCTCTTAAGACCACTCCAGGCGTGCCTTTAGCTTCTGAGAGAACTCTGAAGCTCGACAACAAGACCAAAGATCTTTCAGACTCATCCTCTGTAGGAAATGTCCCAAACAATGCTTTGGAAAACGCACATTCTTGGAATGACCCCTCATCAAGAGCTATTTTTAACTCTATAAGAAACTTTTCGCCGGAGCCAGGCTCAACGTTACAAAAAGTACCTTCTAGCATATCTTCAGATACTAAGCTTACAGATTCCACATTAGCATCTCTGGGCAACAGGGCTTGGATTTCTGGGGCATCCAGGAGATCCAACGCACTTTTCCAAAATGAAAAGCTTGATGACAAACTAAAAAAAGGCAACGCGCTAGAAACTGTTGGATTACCCGGTAAAAAAAATTCGACGTCTCTTACCTACCCAGCAACCAGCACCACTAAAAATGATCTCGGAAATGATAAAAAGCCCGTCTTGACCACACTCGACAAAAGCCTTGAGCTCTTGTCGAAGGTCACAGAGGAGTTGGACCATCCAGAGCAGCCTTCGTCAATGCCCCCATCTCCGCTGGACATCACATCTCCGAGAGATACTTCCAGGTCGCCCTCCATCGATGACGCTCAGAGGTACATTCGAGAAGTTGAAACGTCTATCGCTTCCATTTCACCCAGAAGTTCTCCCGAGAAAACGAAAGACTCGAATTCTCTTTCTTCGAGGTTTACGTATAAATTTCACGAGAACAAAGCCTTGGAAGAGAGGAAGCAGCAGATAGACATCAATTCTGTACGGGATACAAAATCCTCTGATCGTGAAATGAAGTTGGTTGATAAAGGCCTAAATGAAAAGACAGCGAGGGACAGATATCGTGACCTTAGTTCGCGAGAACGTGACACCAAATCCCAAGAAGGTGTTCTGCAATCCCAAGAACTTAGCTTCAAGATACGTGATCATGATATCAAATCGCAAGAACGTGACATCAAATCGCAAGAACGTGACATCAAATCGCAAGAACGTGACATCAAATCGCGAGAGCGTGACCCCAAATTACAAGAACGTGATATCAGAACAAAAGAACTTGACACCAAAACGCCAGACCGTGACATCAAATCACAAGATCTTAATATCAAATCGCAAGATCGTGACACCAAAACGCCAGAACATAATATCAAATCGCACGAACGTGATATCAAATCTCAAGACCGTGATATCAAATCTCAAGACCGTGACACCAAAAGGCCAGAACATAATATTAAATCGCAAGACCGTGATATCAAATCGCAAGACCGTGACACCAAAACGCCAGAACGTAATATCAAATTGCATGAAGGTGACGCAAAGGAAAACAATCTAACCGATATAGTGAAATCTACAAATGTGCATCAATTGCAGGATGCTGAGAAAGGGATTGATCTAGTATCACAGAAAATTCCATTGCAGCCAAGCCCTTCATCGATGGCTTCATCCATTGCGGAAACATCGTTGAAGGCAGCCACCGTCTCCGCTCAGTACTCTGTCTCGACATCCTCGGGCATGAGCAGATCGTCCTCTTTTAAGGACGCCACGGATCTGACGGAGAAGAGAAAAGGCATTTTAAAAAGAGCTTCTTCGCTAAAGAGCTCAGAGGGTTCCAGCTATCCCATCGTGGATCCTCAGCTGGCAAAGATACTCAAGCAGCGGAAACACCTGGTGGGTGATGTGCTGGAGGAAGAGGAGGACAAAGAGGACAAAGAGAAAAAGAGGACTATTTCCGCCACCGAGGAGATACAAGAAAATCTCAAGTAAGTAAAATACAACACAATTATAAGTAATTTAGCAGATGTCGCTCATTGCGACAATAGCTTATCATAAGGTCTTACACAGTGAAGCACTTAGATCTAGCATTTTTCAAAGATGCTTTTTAAAATTTTATCCTGGAATCTGGATCGTCGGTTGGCAAGAGCCGAGATATATACAAAGCAACGGGGGAATCCCCGGCTTACATTGTACTATTATCAGTCCATAGACGAGCAGAGCCCCAAAAGAGATGGACAATGATCGAGACATGTGATGTTGTGTGTCACGTAATCAACTAGGTTTTTCTGGCTGATGTTTTCAAAGCACTATGTGCCAAGATGGTTGAAATGTATGCTAGTTTGTTTTTTTTTAGTTTTATATTTTTATATTGATTTTTAACTAGGACCGTGAAGTGAGTGACTAGTGATGGAAATAATCAATAATCAACCCACATCCCCTTGACTTGACTTATAAATAATTATCCAAACTGTAGCCTTGACCAGCAGAACTAAATTGTTTCTTTTCCAACAACTGAGAGCCAACTAATATGAGATCTCTCAGCCGTGTGCATTTTATATAAAAAGTTGGACACATCAGAGGATGCAATCATCTATGTTTTGAGAACAAAAAAAAACGTCTTTAGTTTCTTTAATTAGATGCTATTAATGCCAGTTGATTGTAAAGTTTCCCCTTTCAGACTTCTATAGATCAGAAAGATGTAAGGGACGACCTGGGGATGGCAGCGGGCAATGGCAATGTACTTAATCTCGCGAGAAATCAAAAGTAAAAAAATATTCTTGCATTTTCCCCTTATGTATTTCAGTTCGGTTTCTTTAATATTTATATTGCATCATCACCATATGTCCCTTGACTTTGGTCGCAGGGGTGCTGTCCTAATTCGTGTCACCAAATCCCACCCCTTTTCTTGATCCACAGCAAGGTAATATCGAGAGAGGACAGTCTATCTTTTCTTTGGACAGCGCGGTATTGTTTTGTATAATACAACACAGTGTAGATTGTATCAATCAGTTTTCTTTGATTTAAATAGGTGGGGTAATTCAATGTTTTCCATAAGTTTGAATTTGTTAAGCCCACATTAACACTTATGAAATCTTTTTTCGTTCCTTATAAAGGGACACTATCGAATAAAATAAAAACGCAAAAAAAGTGGTGAATTTTTACCTCGTTATCTCCCTTGACTCATAAAAACAATTCCACCTCCCCCCCCCCTTTTTTTTTTTCTTTACCATAATGTAATTGTAAAAAAAAACAGAAATTAAAAAAAAAATTTTGAAGGTAGATAACCCCCTCAACCATGGGCGTAGCCGGGGGGGGGGGTTCTTGGGGGTTCAAACCCCCCCGAAATTAACCCGAAATCCATTCTGCGGGGGGGGGGGGGGGGGATCGAATTCAGTAACTCATTTTTTGCTTTGATTTTGTTTATTTTGGGTGACATTTTAATACTATACCATCACTTGCCCCAGCACAGCCAAGGGTTTTGAGTTTTAAAAAACCCTACCAGGGGGTTTTGAGTTTAAAATCCCCTACCAGGGGGGGGGGGTTGAGTTTAAAACCCCCTACCAGGGATTTTTGCAGTTAAATCCCCCTCTACTATAAAACAAATTTTAAAAATGCAAACGACAATCCCCAAATTCCAAGAGCACAGTTAAGGAAGATTTTGATTTTAAAACCCCCTATTCAATATAAATAAAGCAAATTACAAACTCAAAATTCTATGAGCGTAGCTAAAGGGTTTTGAGTTTACCCCCCCCCCCCCCTTTTTTTTTTCAGTACGGTTTGAAGCTAAAAAATACATCTTCAATATAAAAAAAAAAAGCAAATTACGCACTCAAAATGTTATGAGAATAGGTAAATGGGTTTTGACTCAGTTTTGAGTTTAAACCCCTTTTCAGCGGGGTTTGATGGTAAAAAATACCTCTTTAATATTAACAACAAAGCAAATTATACACTCAAAATTCTATGAGTGTAGTCAATGGGGTTTTGAGTTTAAACTCCCCTCCAGTGGAGTTTGAAGCTTAAAAAATAACTCTTTAATATAAAAAAAGGCAAATTACGCACTCAAAATGCTATGAGAGTTGCCAAAAGGGGTTTTGAGTTTAAACCTCCTTTCAGCGGGGTTTGATGCTAAAAAAATACCTCTTTAATAAAAAAACAACAACAAATTACACACTAAAATTATTTGAGCGTAGCCCAGCCAATTGGGGGTTTTGAGTTTAAACCCCTCTCTTACAGATGGCTTTTCTTAAAAGTTAAAAACCCCTCCAGATGGTTTTGAGTTTAAAATCCCCCTATAGAGAGTTTTGAGGTTGAAAACCTCAATCTTCAATATTTTTCTAAAGCAAACTACAGTTACCAAATTCTATGACCGTAGCTAAATGGGGTTTGAATTTTAAAAAAATAACTCTAGAGATTTTTTAGTTTAAAATCCACAACAGATCATTTTGACGATAAAACTTCCCTTTTTGATATAAAATCTAAAGCAAGCTACAGTAACCTTATTCCAAGAGCGTATTCAAGAGAGGTTACACATTTCTACCAGTGGCGGGGCTCCATTAATAAAGTGCGTTGAATAGTCATCTGCCGAAATTGAAATTGAAATTGAAAAACACTAAATGTGGCTCAACAAAGATGGCTAAGACAGATTTTAGGAGTCAGTTACAGAGATCGGGTCTAAATCAGGGAAATCCTATGCCGAATTGGGAGTCGACACATTAGTAAGGTTGTGACAGAGCGTCGTATGAGGTTTGCGGGACATGTTTTCCGACAAAATGAATTACGCATACTAAGCGTTGCGATGACATCCTAGTACAAGTTGGCGCCAGTAAGGCAGTAAGAATAGCATTTTATGTTTTTGAAATAAAACTTTTTAAAAGCAGGAAAATGTACTGTAGATACCTCAGAATATTCGTTTTGCTGGCTTTCAATACCGTTTGATTGTCGTCTGAGCTGAGCCGAAGGCTCTTCGAGCTCAAAGTTTGAAAAAAAACCTGTTAGGTCGCCCAGCCTGAACAGTAAAAAAAAAAAAAACCTGTGTGAACACACAGTTCTGTTTGAGAGCGACCCGAGTCAATGCCTATGAAAGCATTGCTGTTTCCAATGCCTTAGGCCCCCGACTCATGGCCGAAGGCCGAGGACACCGGGAGCCTCCGTCATTTTCCTTCACTATACCAAGCTAACCGTGGGGGACTCGCCATTTATGTAACGGTCCTTTAAGGAACGGCGCATGGATGTGTGACAGTTTTGTGGGGACTTTTTTACAACTGCGCCCGTGCAAGGGGTTGACTCTCGTTTACCCGTGGGCATCCCCACGGGGGTTATGTTTTGCCATTCGTTTCGCCTAGCTACCCCCTCAAGTAGCCGTTTCCACCCAGGTGCCACGATGAGGCAGAACAGCTCACCTGGGCTTTCAATACCAGAAATAGTGCTTGGCGGCGGGGCTTCGCCCCGCGCTGGGGGAGCTCCAAGCGCTCCCCCAGACCCCCTTGCTGTCAATTGCGGGGAGTCTACAATTTTCCCACTAACTTCTGGAAGAAACAATCTAGGGCACAAATAAAGTCCTCCAAAAGAATGAAGGTCACAATGTAATAAAGTTAATGTACACATACACGCATACATCATTTTTTTTCGAAGGGGGGGGGGGGAAATATCCCCCCCCCCCCGAAAAAAAATCCTGGCTACGCCCATGCCCTCAACACACAACACAGACAGAGTTATTATAACTTAGAATTTGATTCCCTTTTTTCATTATTACAATAGTTGAGTGTATTTTTTTCCTGTCTATATTTCTAGGTACTCCATGCAGAAGGCCGCCGAGCAGGGCAGGAACCCAGAAGAGGATGAGGCCCTGAAGAGAATGAGCGTCGCCGAGAGGGTTCAGTACATGCAGCATAAGATGGAGGAGGAAAAGTACGCAGCCTCCACTTCGAGGTCAAGGTCCGGGATGTCAACTCCTAGGTCAAGGCCAGTGTGAGTACATGAGTATGATATTTACCTTCAATGGCATCCTATTTGTAGTTCCAGATACATTTATACATTTTGTTTTCGCAGCCTCAAGTTTTATCTGATACAGTCCTTCTCCGCAACATGCCTGTCTGTATACCAACTAAAATATTTATGATTCCTTTTGATGCCTTAAAAATGTTGCACTCCGTATTTTACTTGATGCTGGAAATGGGAATTCTGTGGATCTACAATTCAATGTGATTTAAAGAGCAGCTTGATATTTATCTTTTGGTTTTGTTTCCTAGCGTATCACTTACCAGCCATCTTTCTGGTTATTTTTTGTTTTCCTTCAATGATGTATATTTTATGAAGATTGAAATTCCCACGGACACCTCTAGAAAAGAGACAAACTGTATGGAAAAACTGCATGACCTGGAAATGGCTGTGCAGTTCATCTCAGATATTCA